GAGGGGGGGGGGGCCGCGCTGCGGGGGGGGGGGGGGGGGGTGGGGCCTGCCGGAGCACCCCGCTCCCGGGAGTGGCCTGCAGGCGAGTCGGCTCCCTGAACTTGTGCCTGCGTTTCCTGCACCACCAGCGATGTTTAGGGAGCCTGTTCAGTTTGGGACAACTGATTATTTTTACCTGCGATGACGAGATACACGTACGTGCCTTTCCCTGGCAAGGTTGAGGACCGCTGAGCTGGAGGGCCCCGCGCAGGGCAGCCAGCTATGTCTGGCCTCGGCTCCCGCACACCCCGCCGTCCTCCGGCCTCTGCGCCGGCCTCGCCCCCCGCCCCGCCTGGCCACGCCTCGCTCCGTCTTCCCAGGGCTCAGGGCCTTCAGCACCGGCGTTGCGGGTTTGCGTAGCTCACCTGCGGGCCTCGTGAGGAAGGGGCCGCAGGGCGGCAGGCGCGTTGCCTGGTTGGCTCTTCGACAGGCTCCTCCGGGCACAGGAACTAAGTGCCAGGAGGAAATGGGGCGCAATTCCCAGGGAGGCCACTAGGCGGCGACGCAGCCTCGGCGGGTCACAGAGGCCGGGGAGGCGCCGCGCTCCTCTGATAGCGGGGACCCTGCGTGGGCCCTGGACCTCCCCTTTCCTGCAGGGAGACGGCAGTCCGTCCTCCGGCTGCTGGGCCTGTGTAGGTCACGCAGGGCTAAGCACGTGCATCTGAGGGATTTCAGGGAGACACGCGTCGCCCCAGAACCTCGGTCCCATGTCACGCACACCAACCCCTGGACCCAGAGCCCCTGGGAAAGGGCGCCAAATGTAGCCTTGTTCCTGAGGCCACCGCAAGGGACCCCAAACGAGCTGCGCGGGGCTTGGGAGACCTCCCTGTCCCCTTTCCAGAACCACGGGTCCCTCCAGAGTGTCCGACTCCATGAGGGCGAGGCCAAGGGGACAGCTGTGCACACGGCTTAGAGCCACATCTGGCGTTGCTGAGTGTCCGCTGCCTCCACACAGGTGACAGGGCCTCAGCGGGCGGGGTAGCCCTGCACCTCTGCAAGGCAGGGCCCTCAGTGCCTCCAGCTGCTCGCCGGAGGGTTAAGGGCCCCCAGCGGTGCCAGTCGGGGTCCAGCCAGGCACTTGCAGGGCAGACAAGGTCCCACGAGTCCAGGGGGCCAGGGCCAGCAGCATGCGGGTGGGAGCATGGACTCTGGAGCCAGTTTCAGTTCTGACTCGCGTCACCTCGCTGCAGGCCTCCCCAGAGGGTGGTTTGGGGCGGCCATCTGGGGTCGGGAACTCCCGCAGCCGCACCTGACTCACGGTAACGCCCATTTCT